CTTTCCTATTGTGAAATAAAGTAAAAGTAAATTAACAGTCTAGATACATTCCAATGCCCCCCCCCCCCCCTGAACAAATTCCGCCTTGTCGTTGCGGAGGGGCTTAGTAGCCGTAGGTTGGTCACCCGCGGAGAACAAAATGGAACCTACTCGGCTGGCCTGAAGTAACACTGAATGGGTTTGGTGAGCCCACTTCGGATGTGTGTTCGTGGGCTGCGGCGAGAGGGTTGTCCTCTGCCCCTACCGCTGCAGCCGAGGTGGAGTCACAGAGGTAGAGGAGTGTTGGTATGGCGATCCATCACTCGCTCTATCCTCTGTGACTCTGGAGGGCCGCACCGTTCATGCGGTGGCGGTGGGGCTGCGAGGGGAAAGGACTGTTGATATTACGAGGCATAGATATCAGGCATAGAATAGATCAAATCTTGGTTGGTGGCGAAGGCATTGACTAGCTCCGCTGGGAAGGTAGGCTAGTGCTTCTGAGTGCTCGTTTTTCCTAGCCCCATAGATTTCGCGTATCGGACACTGGGGCGACCGTTGCGCAGGTGTTGGAGGCCACCGAGATAAACGCGCCACGTATTCTGGTGCGCCTTACCTGAGAAGAAGATAGGAAAGAATTAGTCCTCTCCCAAGGAGAAGCTGCCACGGGTGGCCAGAGCTGTATGCGAAAATGTTCCCGTGACCCTGCCAGTATGTGACGAAGGTGGACCACCACAGGATTTAGTGGGCGCGAGTCCGACCTAACCTCTTTGGCCCAGCGAGGCGAGTACCCGTAGGCAAGTAATACAAAAAAAAAGATAGGTCCCAATATCATAAACCAATCATCCCAAAATCGTTGATGACCTAAATCCTTAAGGGCTTAAAAATGATCGCATTTTGGAAAACCCTAGAGAAGAGACGCACTGCAGTCTAGTAGAATTCTGATGAGTTCTTGTGGTGAATGTGGAATTTATACATGTAGAGCCGCGCTGCAGCCATAATATTGTTGTAGCAAAAGAGGACTGGCTCGACCGGCAAAGTACCACACTCTCACAGAATACCAGCGTGATATAGTAGCTTAATGCAGCTGTGTTTCGTATGGTGAGTGTAGAAAACTGAAGAAAAAAATCTGCAGCGGTGGACTCTAGTTGTTCCCGATATACTTTTTATTCCCGATATTTTTATTCACTGATGTATAACTGGTAAATCTGCATTTAAAAATGCGATTAACACCAATGAAAATGTTTATAGTTTAGATTTTTTTTTTAAATCGGGTTTTTCGGGTACTATGAAAATTAAATCTAGTGGTACACGGTCTACCACGTTCTGTGGCCACGGCTCTAAACCGTATGATTACGTGGAATACATATATATATGTATATATATATATATATATATATATATATATATATATATATATATATATATATATATAAAAGCAGGATTAGTATAAAATCACTAAAGGAACGGCCTATGGAAATGACAGAAATTTAAATCAACAACAGCTAATATTTTATTTTGTTTGTAGATATATCGCAATTATTTTTATCTCGTTAGTTAAAGCAGAAAATCGAACAAAAAATGATCGAAAATAGATATTAAAATGCTTAATTCAATCTAGAATCCATTATATTGCGCTCAAAGTAAATAATACAATTTTAATGAAACCTTGCAACATTTTTATCTTAAAAATATTAAATCGATTATAATAATACAAATAAAATACGTGCTAGAGTAACGCTGCAGCTATATTATGGTTGTAGCACGAATGGGTCGGCACAAGCGGTCAAGGACCACGCTCTCACAGAATACCAGCGTAAAATAGCAGCTTAAAACTTCTGTGTATCATATGGTGACGGTAAAGATCCGGAGACCCTTTTTACTGGAAACGAGGCATCCCATCTTAGTCCTCAGGGGTCACAACGCATATCTGCATTTTGAACTTTCATCATCATCATCATTACAGCCCTTCACAAGTCCACTGCTGAACATAGGCCTCCCCCAAGGTATGCCACAAAGCACGGTCCTAAGCCACCTGAATCCATCGGCTTTCCGCATGTCTTACCAGGTCGTCACTCCATCTAGTGGAGGGTCGCCCTACACTTCGCCTACTGTACTATGGCAAATATCCCCCCAATTTCGAACTTTAATCGAAGATAAATGTAGATGTCGATGGGCCACAGCATCCACTTACCATTAGGTGGACTGTGTGCTCGTTTGTCAACCTTATTCTATAAAAAAAAACGATTTTCTAACATATTTCTTAATTTATTGTTTTTCGAATTCTAGATTGTAAAAATATCTAGATTTTGTATTTTACTAAAAAAAATATAACCAATTTTTTAAAGTATAAACTAATTAATTAACTCCATGCCCAAAAATCCCATTCTCCTTTAACTTTGATAACAATTACGTCAAGTGCCTTTATAATATACAAGAATATACTCATGAAAACTTTTGAAGCTTTTGTGTTTTTTTCAAAAATTTTCCTTTTATTTTTTTATGATATTTACTTAAACCATTCGCTGTCCCGTGCATTACATATTATTGATTGCTATTGTCTTACTATATTGTTTGAAAATCAGACAGAGAAAGTCTTAAATGATACAATTATGACCTCGTAATTGGTACTAAGTTTTTGCAATCAAATCAAACATTTAAAACATAAACAATTATTTGGCAATTTATTGTTAAAGTTAAAGTTACGAGTACAGCCTGTACACGTCACACGGCTGAGCAAAGGTCTCCTCTCATTTCCGAGAGGGTTTTAGGGCAAATAATGTCCGCCGCGCCGCCCTAATGCGTATTGGCGAACTTCACATGCCTTCGAAATATTTTTTTATTTCACAAACATGCAGGTTTCCTCACGATGTTGGCTTTCACCGCCGAGCACTTAATAAATCAGTAATTAAAATTGTAATTAACAATTTCTCTGGTGCCAACGGAGATCGAACCTGGGTTAATTTATTTCCAGTTAAAAATGTGTATGCCAATTTGTATGTAAATTATACTAGTATAGGACAATATGCATTTTTTTATATCTTTAACTTATTATATCTTATGATCAACAAAAAACCTATTATTACATGTATATAAATTGCTCACATGTAGCGTCCGTTGTATAACTTCAGCGTACTGCGAACTTCCACTTCCTCTTTATTTCAAGTTCAGAGATTTGTTTACAAACTTTATGAAGAACGAAATATATTTAACATTGAGCATAATTTACATTGTATGCCAGCTGATTGCATTTTAAGACTATGAATCGACTTTAGAGAAAATACTTAATATTCTATCCATCCCATTGCAGCCTATAAAAGTTCACTGCTGATGACCTCGGGGATTTTACTATAGTTTGGCAGACGGGTAGGCAGCTTTTTTTTTTAATAGAGATGAAAGCAGACGAGCGTGCGGCTCACCTGATGGTAAGTATCTATCACCGTGTCCTTATTTAATTTCGATTTGTTATCAGGAAGTTGCCGCTGCCCATGTCCAGTTTCGGTTTTCCTCTGTCGCCTCTTACGACTTCCGCTGTACAATATGGTGGTGTTCTTATACCGCCCTGACAATAATATAAAAATAATTATAAAAGAGTTATATAATAAACTAGCTGCCAGGAAGATTCCCCTTTTCACCCCTTTGTCAGGTCCTATTAAAAATCCAAAAATTCGCAAAAAAAAAAATTTCTTTGAGTCACGTATGGTCAAAAAACTATCCTATCTCTCAAGTTGGACCAAACTGCACACGGTGTGCAAATTTGATTAAAATTGGTTAAGTAGTTTAGGAGTCCATCGCGGACAAACAACGTGACACGTAATTTATATATATTACGAGTAAGAAGATTGTCTAATAACATGGAAAAGATAATAGATAGAATCAGGCGTTACTTTGCGGAAATCCATTACAATAAAAATATAAATTACTGTAAATTATAATTGCGGAAGGTTGAGAAGTAATTTATATTTTTATAGTAACATGAAAAAGATCCAGTCCTTTACTTTATAGAAAAAAAACTTCAAACAACACATCTTAAAAGATTTTTCTCGATTTTCAACCAATAACTTATTTAAAAAGCCAATGTAATTCATTTATTTTGTATTTATATTAAGCAATTTAATGAAAATTATTTTTATTTTATGCATTCGATTTTATCCATTTTTTTTTTCAAACTTTATTCTATGATTATTTTTAACGCATGTAACACGTTATCTCCGAAGTTCTTATTAATTGATAGCGTATTACATTTTCAGTGCCCTCCTATAATTTCAACCTTATCCGATTATACATAATAGCTTATAATAGTTCAATAACCCTTAGAAGGTGTTAATTTTCAAATAACCCAGTTATCACTATTAAGCTCAGGGGATTATTTTCCTGCTATAAAAGTTACAGCCTATATACGTCATACTGCTGGGCAAAGGCCTCCTCTCATTTCTGAGAGGGTATTAGGACAAGGAAGTGTCCGCCACGCTGATGATGCTATAAAGACATAAAAAATTTCCTTCAAAATTTTAGCCTGTCTATCTGTCCGAGCTAATATACGGGGTGGTTAAATCGATTTTAATAAAACTCAACGACAAGATGGAGAGCCATGTCAGGTTCGATCTGGGCACTAATTTATCCGAATATCTTGAAAAATTTATTGGCAAAAACGAAAAATATAACATAAATATTCTCTGATTATCTTAAATTTAAATCGATACCATCCAGGCAAATCCGGGATAGGTTACAGTTGCAAACTATTAAAGTCCACTGCTGAACATAGGCCTCCCTCATATTTGCCATAGTTGCCCAGCGGGTTGGCAAGCGCTGTTTTTTATTTTAATTCGTTATTAGGAAGACGCTGCTGCCGTGTTCTGATTTGTTTCCCTCTGTCGCCTCTTACGACACACTGATGATGTTTGGCTGCGGATGTTCTGACACCGCACTACACGCACTACACGCACTACACGCACTACACGCACTACACGCACTACACGGGGTAGGCTGCTAGTTACTAATAAATTGTTGTACTGTGTGAGCAGCAGGTGACGTACTACGTGATCCGCACGGCGCTGCTGGTGTCGTGGCTGTGGGCGGCGGCGCTCACCTGTGCGCCGATGCTCGGCCTGGGCCTCTACTACGACGAGGCCAACCACTGCTGTACCAGATACCGTAACGCGGTAACCACCCTCGACTTCGCGTACGCCGTTTTCTACGTATTTTTTGGTGAGTTATATCTTATCCAGCAGCATCGACGAGTTTGAGCTCCACGGACTTTCATGTAAGAAAAATGTAGTTGAATTGGTCGGCTCGATCGGGGAAAGACCACGGTCTCATAAAATAAATAAAATAAAAAGCCTTTTATTTCCTGTAAATTTACATTACTTATAATTTATGTATGTTTGAGTGTATTGGTTTACTCTATGTTATTTATTTATTACTCACTTAATATAGATTTATCTGTATCTAAAGTATATGTATCTATATGATAATACTTATTTAACAATATTTATATAACTAATGTTTTATATAACTTTAATATGTAAAACTTTCATAAATTTATATTTATCTATTTAGTTATATATCTTATAACTATTTTTGATAATAATATATTTATTTGTCTAATCTTATTTTTATTTAATCTACCGGAACCCCAGAATGGGTAAAGGCCTCCTCCAGTGATGCCCATTTGACTCTGTCTTGAGCTACTTGTCTCCAGTTTGGACCAGCTATTGTTTTAATATCATCTCTTCCCATCTTGTAATAGGTCTCCAACTTGTTCTCACAGAATACCAGCGTAAAATAGCAGCTTAAGGCTACTGTGTTTCGTATCGTGAGTGTAGAGAACCGGAAACGCTTTTTACTGCATACGAGGCATTTCATCTTAGCCCTAAGAGGTGACAATGCATCTACAAATTGTTTCTCCATTTGCTGTAGTAACTATCGGTCCGTGGGGTCTATGATCGGTTCGGTTCCTAAGGGAACTGTATCCGCAACTGATCATTTCTGCTGGTGATATGAGTGTTGGTTCTTATCTCGCTCAAGGACCATAGTATAGCCACACAGCAAGGAAACGCAGCCAGCGTTCTTTGTACGATCGTCGAACGTCCTGTAGCCAAGTTCAAACAAATAAGACGATAGATATGTTGTCACCACTGAGGACTGATGGAGTGCCTCACAGCCTGTTAATTTGCTGGCTCTTAATACTCTTGAAACCGGAATACAGAAGTGCAGACACTGCTTTTTGGCAGCACGAATAGGTACGATGATGGTTTCTATCTAGACGGAATCCCAGGTTATCTTCTATTATTCTACATCATCATTAACTCGTAAAGTTTCACTGTTGGAAGCCGGCTTCTCTCCCTGTACGAAGGATTTGGGTTAGTCGTCACTCTTGACACTCTTTACCGTCTTAATTTTAAACGTCTCCTTTGCTGCTGCTCGCCATCACTGATTTGGCGTAAAGTGATGGTTATACCGCTATCTGCCGAAAGACATAAGATCTTTCTTTATTTCCTGTTGTAACCTCTAACGAAATGGTGTAATAAATTCCCTTACAACAACAACCCTAGGGCATTTGGAATATCCCTAAAATTTTCAGATATTTCAAAAATCCCTTTTTATTGGTGACAAAGCATACCAACTTGATCATCAGAGGTGATAACGCATCCACATTTTGATATTTAATCGAGTACAATATAATTGTTTTGGTGCTATGCATTTAATTAATGCATTTAATTATCAGGTGGACTGTGTGCTCGTTTGTACCCTCACATTTATGGTTTTTGGACAAAACGTTACGATTACAGTCTAAAGTCCAATGCTGAACATAGGCCTCCCTATATTACCTCACAGGGGGATATTTGCCATAATTGCCCGCTTGGTAAACTTAGTAACTTTAGTTTTTTATTTTTAGTTTTATGAAGACGCTGCTGCCCATCTCCTGATTTGTTTATCTCTGTTGCCTCTCACGACACCCACGGGACATCATCCCATAGGAGGGGTAGTGGATATTCTTACACCGCCACTACGCGGTAACTTTGAGTCGTACAGACAATGTACGTACATAAATTAAAGTTTATATTAACTGTCTGCAGGGCAAACAACGTTCATAACTAAATAAATAAGGTGCAAGCCCCTTACATTGAGTTTTGGTGCAGGCACGCTTCTGTGCGCGGTGCTGGTGTACTGCAATCTGGCGGTGATCCGCGCGCTGTACGCGATCACGCTGGGCGGCGGCGCCGTGCGGCGCGTCTCGCGCAGCAGCTGCCGGCGCGCCCCGCACGCCCCCCACACCCCGCACAACGCCGCCACGCCGGAGGAGGTCGCCTTCAGCCGCCTCATGGCCACCCTCTCCGTGCTCTTCATGCTCTGCTGGCTGCCGCAGATGGTATGTACAACCTACGCACACACGCTTCTTTTTTTAGAATAATGGCCGAATACTCAAGCGCTACTTAATTTTAGGATGTCGTTAATTCCCGTTGAATCACAGTCACTTTGACTTCAAGTATTAGAGACAGCACGAAATTTAAGGTTTTCCGAAAATTGAGCAGCGTTTCAGTATTTGGGCATAAGGGTGACAAACGAACACACAGCCACATAATGGTAAGTGGATATTGTGGCCCATAGATGACATTTATCCTCGATCAATAATCAAAATACAGATGCGTTGTCACCATTGAAAATTAAGATGGAGTGCCACGTATCCCATAAAAGGGTACTCCGGTTCTTTACATTCATCATACTAAACACTGGTATTCTTTGACAGCATGCACCTTCCCCGGTCGAACCAACCCATTCGTGCTACAACTGGCTATACCACGTTGTTTTTTTTCTAGCCACCCGGCAGACGTTTTCCTGCCCTTCCGGTAGGTGTCCGGTAGAAATCTCTCCCGGACTTTTTACAGGATTAAACAAAATAACTCGAGCATAACACCATGTTGTGTTTTACTTAGTGCACTGAATCGTGTAAAACCTACAAATAACAGAACCGTCTGCAACCGTCAACGACCGAGTGCTTTCTGAGCGGCTCGATTCACTGGCGCTGCGAAGAGATGATGCATCACTTTGCGTATTTTATCGCATCTATCACGGGGAGTGTTCTGAGGAATTTTCCGGATTAATCCCAGCTGCCAAATTTCATGAACGCACTACGCGGCAAACCTCCCGATACTATCCACACCATCTGGTTGCATGGCGATCCACCACTGTACGTTTCACTAGGAGTTTTCCTCCGCGTACGATCTCTCTGTGGAGTAGTTTACCATCAGCGATTTTTCCGGACCGACCTGGGGACCTTCAAGAAAAGAGCTTACTCCTTTCTAAAGGGCCGGCAACGCACCTGCAATTCCCCTGGTGTTGCGGATGTTCATGGACGGCGGTAGTAACTTAACATCAGATGAACCATATGCTCGTTTGCCTCCTCTTCTATAATAAAAAACCAACAAAATCATAAAGTTATTCAGACTTGAAAACCAATTCACGATTCTAAATAAACAAAATCCAAAATCAAAGCCAGAGTCTAAATATGTATAAAGGAATAGCAAACAAATCAACAAAACAGATCCAAGAAATACTCAAATCCGAAAATGAAAGCGAATATAAATCCATTCAACCTTAACCAAATCACAAAGCAAATAACCGAAATCGAAAGCAGGTAGTCGAATAAGCTACGAAATAGAAACAATTTAAGCGTATAAGTACCGTATGCACTATTAGTTGACGCGCATTTTTTTTGCGCCCGAAGCAAATATGGGCAACCCTCCGGAAAGCGGGGGAGAGAGGTTGGGAATGCTCATAGCATACCACGCAGCCGGCTGCGTGGTTATGTGGTGACTTTTACCCACTAAACCCAACCTTTTAGGAACTGGCTTAACGATCTGACTAGAGATCTCTAAGCCGTATACGAACGCGACCCTCCTTGGCAGAAAGGAGGGTCGCGAGGGTATTGACGCGCATCTCAACGGCGGGAGTTAAGTACATTTCAGAAAACATTTCGTTACTGCGTTTTAAAAACCTAGTAACGACATCTAGCGGAATCAATTTAAACTATGTATACGTTAATTAACAAGAACTCTCAAAAAATATCCATACTAATATTATAAATGCGAAAGTGGGTTTGTTTGTTTGTTTGTTTGTCCTTCTTTCACGTCGCAACAGAGCGTAGGCATGGCATGATTTTGTTGTATGGGGATAGTTCGGTGGCTGTAGGGTGACAAAGGTTACTTTTTTCCGCGGAAAAACATCTCACTCCCGTGGGAAAATAGAATATGTTGCAAAAGTTTGTCCTTCTTTCACGTCGCAACAGAGAAAAATGAATTAAAAAAAAAAGTTCATATTAAAAATAGTTTTATTCAATATGTAGTGTTCGCGTATAAATGCATTTCATCACCTTTTTTTCCTTTTTCATTCTTTAATTCTTGTAGCAGAAGAATTTTAAAAAAAACCGAATGTGGGAACACTTGTCAATTTTCAAAAGTCTTTCAATATGAACTTAGAAATAAACTGAATAAGAGCCTCTGGATTATTATTTTTGCCCGTTTGTGGGTTATTTATTTTATTTCTGCAGAACACGGTCCAATATTTTTTTTGTTTGCTAGGAAAATGTTACGTCAAATAATGATTAATCGGTGCCATGAAACTGAAGCTTATTTTCACTGACACTAAACTTTAATTAATATTGAAAGAGACACTAAAAACCGTTGCACTAAAAAGCGGTTATCTCTTTAATTTCTTATGGTTGATGTTATATTATGAAAATATTGATATGATGATGAATTTCTAGAAGATATACGTTCAAAAAACATGCTGGAGCTATATTATGGTTGTAACACGTATGCGTCGGCTCGACCGGGGAAGGACCACGCTCTCAAAGAAAATCATCATAAAATGCAGCCTAATGCTGCTGTGTACGGTGAGTCCAGAGAAAAAGAGACCCTTTTTACTGAAGACTGGGCACTCCGTTTTATTCCTCAGAAATGACAATATATCTGCATTTTGATTATTTATCGAAGACCGATGTAGGTGTCAGTAGGCCACGGCATCCACTTACAATTAGTTCACTTGGTGGTAATTCGATGTTGCGCTCGTTTGTCACCCTCATTCAATAAAAAAGATGCTTTCCTTTATCAGAACTCAAGGTTTCTTAGGTCTACGCGGCTACTACTGGCCACACATTGAAATCGCGTTTAATTTAATCTGTCCAATGTTGCTGTAAGATTTATAAACCACATTTTTATTTGAGATTTATAACAAAAAGTACCAACTGTGTTAATTTACTAGTTAGTTTGGTTTGTGATTGTGGGCGATGGACTAGTCTACACTTCTTGTACAATTCCAGTTTCCTTCTTACCCCATATGTCCAGACATACTCTCTAAACTCTAAGATGATGGTTGGGTACTACCATCCGCTTAGGATACCTTATAGCTTTTAATCAATAACATTAAATCATTACATTCAGCTTTTAATATTAACCAGTTTATGTATAAACCATTAATATATACGTTTTTAAACGGAAAAAGTATAAAACCCTTTTTTCATATTCTTATATTGTCACCCGATTCCGCGCTATGTTTGAAATTCAAGTGTTTAACTCATGGGGGAGTTAGTTTAAAATCAATTATTAAATTCGACCGGAAGTCATACACGAAAGCGAGTTAATAACAACGTGTTAATTAAAAGCTGAAGGAATGAAATCCATTTTTCAGAACTCTGGATGTTCTGAAAAATTGATTTCATTTAGTCTGTAACAGTCCATTTCTAAACATAGGGATCGCAGTACTATTTAGCATCATTGAGGCTACTGCCCACCGGTATATATAAGACGACTTTTTACCATTAACTTGAGATACTAGGAATGTATGATATCCTAGTGACTTACAGTGGCTTGGCCTGGATCTAATAATGTGGCATCATTTCAATTTAAGATAATCATCAATGACCGTTTATTTTGTACAATGTTCCAGACTTTTAAGATTGAATGTAGCCTAGATCACTCCTGGTTGTCCCATTACTCTCTATCCGTCCGTCAAGTTTCATTGCAATAGATCCAGCCATCCCGAAGATCAACCGGACGGACACACAGACTAAAATATTTAAAGTTGTTAATCATGACTTAATGACTTTCAAATAACCTCCTCAGCTCAATAAAAGGCAGTTATTTCGAAATTACGAACAAACGCTTTAATTTTTCATTTATACGTATAGATTAATACCAAAAACAAATATACTTTGCATTGGGTAAGTTCTTTTTTATAGAATGCCTCGTTTCCAGTTAAAAAGGGCTCCGGATCTCTACACTCACCATACGAAACACAGCAGTACGAAGATGCTAATTTACGCTGGTATACTGTGAGAGCGTGGTGCTTCCCCGATCGAGCCGACCCATTCGTGCTACAGCCATAATATAGCAACAACGCAGTTATTTTTACTTCTTATAATCCAGTGTTGAACTACAATCCCTTCTGGTGCTAAGTGTTGAGTGGGTAGGTAAATCACACAGCCTTACTCGTAGCATAACGAAAGCCTATTCAATCTTGCCATTATTAGCACTCCACTCCTTTGCTGTACGAATTACGAAAGATTTGTTATCTAAAGCTGAGAGCAATAACAATAGCATCAGTTGTCTAACGTTTTAGTCCCTCCATCATCATGAGTGCACTCCGAGCTTCAAAGTTTAAAATAAGTTATACATTCTATTCTATTTTTGTTTATCTATGTATAAAATATTGTAAAACAAATTATGTTTTAATATATCGATGCAACCCTAACTGGTTTCCTACGATAAACACGTCGCAAACTTATTATACTTAATTTTTCTATTAGAAATTCCAGTTGTCACCATAAACACATTCCGTCCGTCGCTTCCCTCGCACTTTACGTGTAGGTGGAGTTTAATTGAACTGTTGTATTACTTATATACACACGGACAGAAGCTATTGCTGTGCTTATTACCATTGTTTACTAATTGAATAATAAACTCACGGAACGTTCCATTATTACTATCATTCATCGACTATATCACTTCCCGTCAATGATCAGTGCAATCGTTATTATAATGAGAGTAACACCTTAGCGTGATCAGTACGCAGGGCACATTTGCGGTAGATTGGTATCGACCATTAAGGAATACACCTCGCCATTTGTATTCTGCAAATGTCGTTATTGTGCTCGTGCGGATGCAAAACAAGGGTGCCTCGTGTTGGCGGCCTTGCGACCTACGCGCTTCTGATAATTATGCTGGAATACATTGAAATATTTTGGTGCTATTAATGCTTCAACGTTGCAACGCCTGTTCAAGGGATTACCTTACGTTCTGCTTATATATCTAATTGTTCGGTTTCCATAGTCATTAAACTCAATAGTGTTAATATTTTCTTATGTTGACGTGA